GATTTTAGGGTTTAAAACGTATTGATCAAGTTATCTTACATATTATGTCTAAATATGTTAAAGCATAATTATTTTGATGATATATATATAAAATTTAGATTTATTAAAGTTTCAATTTTAAGTTTAAATTGTATTATTATTATTTTTTTTTGACACAAAAACACCAAAGAGCTTCATTAAAAAGAGAGGAAATCAGGGTACATCAAGAGTAACAGCACATTCAACAAAAGGTGGAACAACATCAGTCCACACTTTTAAAGCACTGAATTTTCTACTAAAATTAATACAATTTATTTTGACACAAAAATATGAAAATAAATTGTATTAATTTCATATTTTTATGTTCTTATTCTCATAAAACAGTAGTTGTGAGTATTTTATGATTATAAAGCCTTGAACTTTAAAGTCTAATTTCAAGAATTAATTTTCAGATTATTTTTAATGTTTTGAAGTCTCTAATTACATTGAATTGGTGTATTTTTGGGTTTTAAGCTTACTAATCTAATATATGATGTAGGTAGTTTCAAAGATTGTTATGATTGTAAGATTTCATGAATAAAATATAATTTCAAATTTTGTATAAGGTTTTAAAATTGTTGTAATTTTATAAGTAAAGGTGTTTATTAAGAGTTGTTGATATAAATTCATAATAATACTTCTATACCATTAACTTAGAAGTTTGGGAGGTTTAAAAACGTCGTTTTGATGATTTTTAGAAGCTTTTAAAGTACATTAGTATTGTTGTAATTTATTGCTTGGGTATTGATTGAATTATTGTTATTTGGTCTAGGAAAGGACATTATAGAAGACGATTTCTAGTTTCTAACGTGGCTAACCAATTTGTTTACTCAAGGTACGTACAAGGATACAAAAAACCTTGACTTTAGGAGCATGTTTAAGGATTTGGAAAACTTATAATTGTGATTAGGAAACTTGTGGTTGATTGAAATTGTTTGGTAATAATCTCTTTGGTATTTATGCATGAATGTGCATGACTTATAACTTTATGTATGTTACTTTATATAGTAAGTAATTTTATATGCATTAACTTGCAAGATGAACTTGGAGGCAAAAGTACATGATCATGTAAATTGAATTATTGTTACTTGTTAATGATTGTTAAAATGGAATGAGTACAAGAAGAATTGATGTCTTATAAGACGAGTTTGAGAATTTAAGGTGTCTTATGCACTCAAGGTGTCTACACACCGAGGTAGTTTAAGGGATTCAACACTAATTGTTGTTTGTCACTAATATAATTCAAGAATGGAATTGGAAATTTGAACTGCTTGAATGATTAATAATGTTGATTGGTTGCATTGTTCTCATGAATGAGTCACCACCAAATGTAAACCTGTAAATCACGTAAAGTATGAGATGGATGAGCAATAAAACTTTGGATTTGTGCACATCTAGAGTAATGACAAACAGGGGTTGGGGTATTGGCCGTGCACTTTTCTAGAGACCATTTTGATATATGAGTCTCTTGTTTTCAAATACTTTTATTAAAAACTATATAAGGACTTAGATGAGATCTCATACTAGATATGGCCACGGAGTCGCGCCTATCTGCCATTGGATGTTTATTGATGTTTTCGAAAGGAGGCACATGGTTTTTCTTTTATTAATGTTACAAATTGGAGCATGGGGAGACAACCTTGTTTATTGCTTAATCCAATGAATAAAATGAAGGAAAAATACACTTTAATTATCCCAACTATTGGCGATTTACCTACAATAATTCCAACTAAGGTTTATTTTTTAAATAATCCTAACTATTAGGTCAGTTTTCCTCCAGCAGTCCCAAACCGGTTACCTGCTAAAAAGGTAAACTCTTTTTTTTTTTTTTTTTTTTTTTGCTTTTAAATGCCACATATTAGCACATGATTGTCTTAATTTGAAAAAAAAATAAAAAATAAACAAAAATTAGCCCGGTCACCCTCTCCTCCCTTAAGCCACCATGAAACCCAGCCATCAGCCCCGACACCGTTTTTCTTCACCCAATGCCGCGACTTCGCCGTCTCCACCATTAGCCCGATCACATGTCCCCTCCGACCACCCACGGCCTCATGTTGATGTTCACGACCACCACAAAACTCCCTTCTCTCTCCCTCGAACAAAACCAAGCAACCACCAGCCATTAAACCCCCAGCCCTCGATACCACCCCTTAAACCTCCCCTGATACCGCGGGATCCCCGCAAAACCACTGGCTGCCCACAACATTGCCCGATCCCCGCAAAACCGCCCCTAAATAAGCCATAGCCAATAGCCCTATCTCGAAACCTCCGCCCATGACTAAGGCCCCAAAATTAGAAACCGTCCACCTCCCCTCCCCCTCGCTCCGACACCACCCGTAACACTAACCCCAGCCCTCGAAATCACCTCTCCAACCCCGAAATCACCAAAAACATAACTCCCCTCCCTTTCTTTATCCTCCATATGCCGAAAAACGAAATTAAAGGGGGTGAGGGAAGGTTTCCGGCATGGTGGGAAGGAAGGGAGGGAGGTTGAGGTAGTTTCGCGAGTGATCAGGTGGTTATTTTTGGTGGAGTAGAAGGGGAAAGAGGAGGTTTCCGGCGAGGTGGTGGCTGGGCTAGGGGGCTTGGAGGTGGCTGGTAACTTCGTAGGGAGGAGAGGAGTTTTTTTTTCGGTTTTTTAATTTTTATTTTTAAATTTTTTTTGAACCACTCATGTACTGCCACATGTTAAAGCAACCTGTTACATTAGGTTGATGACCGGCTGGGACACTTGGAGGAAAACTGACCTAGTAGATAGGTTTATTAAAAAATAAACCTTAGTTGGGATTATTGTAGGTAAATTCAGAAATAGTCGGGATTATTAAAGTGTATTTTTCCTAAAATGAAATGAAATAGACAATATTAATTGGAGAAGTCATAGAGATGTTAATAATAAAATCATGTATTTGATGAGTTAGTAATTAAATTGTTTGTGTGTTGTTTGATAATTAGTAGCATCTAGGAATTTTATTGTAATATTTTGTAGCTTGTATGTACTCAACGTAGTTGATATATTGCGTGCTTTTGTGTATCTTTTTCTTGCTCATGGCCTTCGCCTTTCAATGACCCTGTAATGCTCCAATATTTACACTTGTAATATATATTGGGGAGCAGACTTATCACAGGTGTTTGCATAGTTTGGACTAGCATCAAGGTAGCGGGAATTTCAGAGGATTGTTGGTTATTACTCGTAGTTTATTTCTTTGCATAAACATGGATTTTATTTAAACTATGGTTGAATTATTTACTACTTTGATTAATTGGGTTTTGAATAAGGGTCTTGATGGTTCCAACTTGTAAAACTTAATTTGGTGTTGTATGATTGTGTGCTAATTGAATTTCTTTATAATATACTTGTGCCAATTCTTAATATGCTTGTTATGTTGGGATCGCATAGAGAGGTTGACAAAAAACCGTGAAGGTGACTAAGCATAATAATAAGGAATAGAAAGCGGTTACAGCATGGACTCTTGGGATGAGTGGACCTTACATCCAAATCAAAATGATGAAAGTGAGATACATACCAGGATTGGTACGAATATAGAACAACTTAACAAAACAAAAAGAAGACCATTCGGAGAATCCTTAACCAGATATCAGATGATGAGGAGGACTTAGAACCACCAAAACCACAAGTTGGGAAGAGGACTACTAGTAATCTCTAGTAGTCCTCTTCCCAACTTGTGGTTTGGATTTCCTGATTATGCTACTTCACCTTCATTGGATTTTTGTCCATCTCTCTACGCGATCCCAACATAACAAGCAATCAAAGAATTGGCACAAGGTCATAAGCACATCATAAAGAAACTCAATTAGAACACAATAATAAGCAACTTGCAAAATAATTAAATAAATGCAAGGTATTCAGTATGCATGCATGCCCTTTCTAATTCGACTCAAATCTCACCAAATAAATAATCCAAACTTCGAAAATACTTTATAAACTTTAAAAACAATTACATTTCAAACACAATAAGTTTTAAAAATCATTTTCAACTTTCAAATTCAAGATTCTTAATCAATTATTTAGGCGCCTAAGACATACTAATTGACTTTAGTGGTAATTAAATTCAACCTAAGCTCTCAGATATCACTTTAAGTGTCGTGGTAATTATAAACTATTTTATAGTAACTATAACCACTTAAAGGTTAACTTTTAATTTGTCGTTGGTTTGAATTTTATTTGAACGTGCAATTTCTTATAGATACGTGATTACATTTTATAAAAACTAATATGATTAATCTAATATATTTTAAGTTTTTTTGTAAGAAAAAAAATTTATTAATTGAAAAATAATAACTTTTGCAATATAAAGGGGAACTGTAAGTACTTTTAACATAACTTTAACTCGTTTTACAATAAATTAATGTACACTCGTTGTACACAAGACTTTATCAAGTTTCTTTCATAATGTTTGCTAATGCACACCTTTAACAATTAATATGTTTAATTATCAACAAGTAAAATTATGAAAAGTTTTGATACATCAATAAAATTTTACATGTTAAAGTAAAATTCGTACAGTAAATATTCTTTTCTTAAAAAAAAACACTATAGCAATATATAAAGTGAAAGGGGTTTTGGATGATAAATTTTTCTTTTCTAAAATACCCCTCTCATAAAAGCTACCTACGTAGTTTTTTTAAAAGATTTTTTAATTAGAATAAAGGAAAAAATCGAGTCAATGTGTGTGTGTCATAGCTTGTTTATAATAAAGTCAAAAATCATACGAAGTACTTTTTTAATGAAAAAAAAAATCACTAGTTTTCCAAATTAAAGCACAAAAATTACCCCAAAGCCCAAAATCTGTCCACCCTAGAGGCTGCTATTTTATGGAATATGGACAGATGTTCAGGAAAAAAAAAAGGAACAAATTACCCAGAAATTTGGCGCCTGAAAACCATGAATTTCTTATTCTGAAAATCAATTCAAAAAATTTTGGAAAAATGGAAATAGAAAGAACAGGAAGCGACATGGAAATGGAGAGAGAAGAAGAAGATGACGAAGAAACTCAACTTTTGAAGGATCGTTTTCGTCTTTCCGCCATTTCCATTGCCGATTCTGAAGGTCCTTTTCTCTCTCTTTCTTTCTCTTTCTTCTCTCAATTCTTCGATTTCTTACGTTTTTTTTGTTCTTCAATTTGAGCAGCCAAGAAAAACGGAATGCAACCATCTGAATCCATTGTTGCGTGTATTTCCAATTTGGCGTTTAATTATGCTGGTAATCGCACTTGAAATTCCTTCGTTTCGATTTTCTTATGCTTTTCTAGGGTTTGCTAATTTGATTTTATTTTATTATGTAGGGTTTTCGATTGTATATGGTTTTTTTATTATTTATAATTGTTTTTTTCTGAAGTTAGGATTTCTTTTGTGTTGCTTTGAATTTGGAATATTTTGATAGCAGTTAGCAAGTGTGATTTTTGAATTGAGAACAAGTGAGCTTGATCAAAATTTTTGTAGCATTTGTAGTACCTGTTTTCCATACGATTAATGTCAATAGCTTCTAACAATTTGTGATTGATTTGTAATAGTTTTACGCGTTTGTGGGTGACTTTTCTGGTTAAGAATGTGTATAGGACCATTTTTACATGAATGTGCATGGTAACTATCTTCAATATCAATTAGGTTTTCTTTTTATCGACTAGGCGTTGAGTGATTATGAATAGTTACAAAGAAAATTGCCCTACTGGGTAGTTCAATGATATGTCAAATGACAGATTACGTGGAATATGTAAAATTAGATAAGTGGTTGTAATGAAAAATTAAGAAGAAAAAAAATACCAATCTAGTAGGGAGATGATTTGGAAAGGACATTTTTAGGGGATATCTTAAGAAAAGTTATATACAATTTGCTACTATTGATTTATGACCTTGTAACAAGTTGATAGCCTCTTCTTAGCTTCGAATCATTATGTTTTGTGCCTTGCATAAGTTGATGGATACCTAAGTGCTGATATACTAAACTCTTTTTTATGTCATCACTCATGCTTCTGGCTGTTCTGGGTACAATTGTAAATTATTTGATGACAATTTGATAGGATGATCTGAATCTGTAGCATTATTAACACTTTTAAGCTGATAGATTTGTTTTTTGCATGCCACCCTTGTCATCTTTGGATATCAGGCATTCTGGATGCATATTGGATTTGGATTACACTCTTAAAATGGGAACTAAAATTGACTTTTTTGTGTCAAACCCGCTCTTTCACATGTTTTGTCTTGGAAACAACTTTCCTCAAATATGCTGCCCTGATGCCTCATAATCAACTACCCACAATATGTGCTGACTGCTCCTAGAGCTTTATTTTCCATGGCGAATGACTAGTTTTAGCACATGTTTTCCGTGATGAGATCAAGCACACATTTTTCATATCTATCTAGCAATCTTACTGTGTAACGAATCATGGGGTTTACCTTTTGTATTACAGAGCATTTGGCCAAGGACCTTGAACTATTTGCACACCATGCTGGTCGTAAATTGGTGAATACTGAGGATGTTATACTTGCAGGTATTACATTCAGTTGTTTTAATGGAAACCACTAGTTTGGATATGAGGTTGTATGTGCTTTGTTAAAACACGTGAATATTTATCATGTTTCTGTCACATAACTCTATTTGGTACTGTCAATTTTATAATTTTTACTTTAATTAATCACTCATAATATTCCAGTGGTTCTTCAGTAGTTCAGTTAACCAAGCATAAAGCTTCAGCTTCATCTGTTGTACAAGAATGTTTTGAGTTTCCATTTTCTTCTCTTTCTCCCTTTCTATTTTTGTGAGTTTGGGGGGGGGGGAGAAGAAGCTGACAGAACATCACTTACGATGCAGGCAAAAATATATTAAACATGTGAATTTTGAAACTGTTGTTTCTTATGAATCGTTGGTAGCAACAGATGTTGTGACAATACTTTCATAAGGTGATAATTATAGAAAAGTGGAAGCAGCAACTTTCTGTTACAGATAATCAAGAATACTGAAAACTTTTTTAGGAAGGCATCTAATGATACTTTAATCTGAATCTTAGAAGTCCTAAATTTCTGTTAGAAGGAAAGCAGTCTCTAATTTTTACAATAACATCCTAATCTATTTCTTTTCAAGAATTTCTGGACAAACTGATTACAAATGTTCAGACCAGGGCATGTCTTGAGGTTTATTCTTTGGAATAGTTATCTAATAAGAATTATTAAAGGTTTAGACATATGTGATCTTTGCTGAAAATTTACTTATTTTATGATAAATGCATTGGTTTGCAACTTTTGATTGTAATGAGTTATGAATTTCTTTTAACATTTTTTATGTATATGGTTTGTCATCATATCCAACCCTTGTTTCTTTTTCCTCTGTTTAGTTTTATGTTTTTTTAATAACACAACATTATGTTTAAGCTGCTTAATTTATGTAGCTGTCTTCTCATCCCTTTTGAGTATAGTTTGGACAACAAAACATCCTATACCACCAAACCTTCAGTTCATACATGGATTGTTTCTGTCTCAACTCTCAAGTTGTCAAGTCTCAACTTATTGCCACCAAACTTTCTTTGAGTGCCAAACTCTTTTGCTTTACTCTTGCACATGTAGCTTGTTCATTATTGTGCTAAGCATTATACAATTATCACTAGGTATATCATTCTATCATCGCCAACTCATGTGATGCTTGGTTAATTAATTGTACAAGTTCAGTATCTTATTTGGTTGAAATAATGCTTGTGCGCATCCTCTATTCCTTTCTGAGCTATGTACAATCTAAAACCACGATTTGTCTGAGTAGCATGATGTATTCCAAAATTTGTTTTTGATCACCTTTTCAACCAACTGCATCCATCCCATAACAATAGGATCCACTTCACAACTTAATGACATTTTATTTCTGTATATGAAAGCATTGAGTAATATGTGACGTACAGTGCTTCATTTGTCTCATAAGAATTTTCCGTTTCCTTTTTATTACCTTGCCTCCCCCACACCCCCTCATGTACAGGGTGGAGTAAGCGGGGGTGTCACCTACAGTTTTAAGGTCAAACTTGGTAAAAAACCTATTTATTTTTGTGATGAACTGAAATTACTGCTAACTTACTCACACAAATAACAGTAAAATATAGAGAAAAGATTGGTTCTTTGATTAAACTAGATAAATTGATTTTTGGTTAATTGATTGAATGAGAAGAAATAATAAAGATTGAAGCTAAAAGATTGATTTTATATGGTAAAAGGGTTACAAAGATAGGTTAATAGCTTTTACTCTAAAAATAGCTTGAGGCTATCACTCTCTAACAATGGCATGAGGGCATAACTCTCTAGGTTTTCCTTACAACTTATTGCCTACCATTTTCTTTCCCCTCCCTCTCTATTTATACCAAGGACTATTAACCTAGTAAACTAATTTTACTACTAGAATACCCAAACTACCCCTCCTTAGGTTAGTCTATTACAATTTTCAGTTGTTAACAACAGCGATGAGTGCATCTTTTGGAATTTTGGACTTTGGAACGATCATGGTACGGGGATTTTGATTTTAAAAAAGGATTACGTTGTATTTGCTTTGAACGACCTGTAACCAGGACTATTGAGATTTCTTGTATGTTAGTGGAAGCAGTATACTTAGTATTCATGGGCATCTGATGATACTTCAATCTTAATTCTAGAAGTCTATATTCTAAATCATATCTGCATCCACTGCATTTTATGAATTTGTTAGATAAACTGACTACCAAAATGCTCAGGCCTCGGCTTAAGATTTTCTGTATTGATGGTTTTGATAAAAGATATATGCAATCTTCTTTGTGAAAAGTCACTTAGTTTATAATGAATGTAGAAACCAGTTCGTGACTTTAGGTTGCAATTACTGATGAACAGATCTTATGTTGCCTTCTGTTCACTCATGGTTCATACCTTGTCTCAAACTGATTTGTCAATTGCCACTAATATTTATTTTGGTTAACAAAGCTTTTGCTTTATTCTTGCACATTTCATCTATAGAGTATTATTTGTGTTGAGTACCATACATTTATCTGTTGTTATATCATGCATATATTTTTATCATGTCTGATACATGCAGTCCATTATTTATTGACTATATTAGGATTTTTTTTTTTTTAATTTTTTTTTTTTTTTTAATGTAGGGTTGATCTTTGCTTATGCTGCTCTTTGATATGTTAATAAAACACAATTCTTGTAGACAATATCCACTGATTCATTTGACTTAATCACAATCTAAATACACTTTAAGAAGCTTCAAGTCTTTTAAAATTCTGTTTTTCATCATCTCTTGAAGCTTGCATCTAGCGGTAACATGTATCCTTTTGTTTGATGGCAACAGCCTGACCAGCCTGTTATTCACAACTAAATGACTTTGGTGTTCGGTCACAGTCAATATACTAAACTTGTATTGATTTACTAGTATAGCCTTTCAATATGGACAACTTGTGATAGTCTTAAATTTTGTCTCAGCCCATCGAAATGAGAACCTTTCTCTATCATTAAGGACCTTCTGCAATGATCTAAAAGCCAAAGAACCTCAGTCAGAGAGGAAGCGGAAGAAAGCTTCTAGGAAAGAGGACAAAGCTACAACAAGTGCACTTGAAACTGCTGAACTCTTAAGATAGGTGAGTCTTACTTGTCCTATCATCCTATGTTAAGCACTTCGAGTTTAGCAGAATTATTTGTTATACTTATCCAGACTACCTTGTCTAGGAACGATCCTATTAGCCTGTTTCTTTGCCTATATCAGCTGCAGTGATGAAGGAAGGACTTTGACGTCTCTTTAAGCTATTGAATGGAAGGATAGTTCGGAGCTATGTCTAATATGTGGGCATTGAGCCCATGAAGTGGTCACATTGAGTTTAGACGAAGAGATAGTTTCAAGCTCTGTGAACGCTTCGTTTTTCCCCTTATCGATTTTGTATAGGTTAGTAACAGGTAGCATATGTTTATATGAGAATGTTATAAAACTGATGCTCTTACAGGCAGTTAATATTAACTGCTTCGTAATACTTTAATCACGGTCATTACTGAAACAGTATGTTGATCACTGGTTACTGTTGACTTGTTTGTACAAAGTACTACTGTACTGTATTAACCTAAAAGAATTATGGCGTAATTACTTTTCTGTGACTTTAGTCCTTGTAAATTTAATGCATTTCCTTGATTGAGGAGGCAATACTTTCCTATGGAATCAGACCGTGTCCTATATCTGATACTGTATGAGTTCATCATAACCCAGAAATATTCATATATAGGGCATTTTTGTTACAAATAATTATTTTTAATTTAATTACTGGTATTATTATTTTTAATTTAATCATTTTTTTTATTTTTTAAATGATAAAAGTAAAATAATAAAGTGACATAGATTTCAATGTATAAAGTTGTAAAAGGAGATAAACTGAGATCAACTGGCGCTCCCTCTATTATTATTATTGTTTTTTTTTGGAAAAATTGGTGAAAATAATCCCAACTTTGAGGCATTTACTTTTAATAATCCCAACTTTGTATTATTATTGAATAATCTCAACTTTATGGGGTATTCGTTTTTATTGATCCCAAATGACCGGTAACCTGTCAAGCAGGTAATATATATATTTATTTGTTTTAAAAACATATGGCACCACTTGATTGGCTAAAAAAAGGCTAAAAAGAAAAGAAAAGAAAAAGAATTTTTTTTTTGAAAAAGAAAAACCATCACGCCACCCCTCCCCAACCCCGCTCCAGCAGCCCCCTCCCCAACCCCCACACTCTAGCAACCTCTCTCCCTACACCCAACCTGCCAAAAAAAAAACCCCTCCCAACCACCGAAACAGCCCCCCTTCCCCTAAATTGACCCGATTCCCACAACACACCCACGAAAACTATCCCAAAAAATCCACCTATCCCCTTCCCTTCACCCGAAAACCACCTTTCTCCCTTCCCTAGCCCCGAACAACGTTTATTAGCGTTGGGGAAAGGGTAATGGGTGGTTTTTGGGGTGGGGGGAAGGGGAGGGGATGGTTTATTGGGAGGGTTTTTGGGGTGGGGGTGGGAATCAGGGGCGGTTTAGGGGAAGAGGGGTTGTTTCGGTGGTTGGAAGGGGTGGGGAGAAGGGTTTCCGACGGGTGGGGCGAGGGGAAAGCGGCTGTCGGATTGTGGGCGGTGGGGAGGGGCTGCCGGAGTGTAGGCGGTTGGAAGGGGGCAGGCGAATTGTGGGCGGTGGGGGTTGTTTGGTTTTTAATTTTTAATATTTATTATATATTTTTTTTTACCAATTATGTTGCGACACGTGTCCCATAACCTGTTATAACAGGTTGGTTTACCGATTGGGACCAATAAAAGCGAATACCCCCTAAAGTTGGGATTATTCAATAATAATCCAAAGTTGGGATTATTAAAAGTAAATGCCTCAAAGTTGGGATTATTTTCACCAATTTTTCTTTTTTTTTTTTGAAAGATATTATAATACTACTAATTATTTTTACTACTCCTGTTATTTATTTGTGGGGGAGGGGCCTGGGGGGTGCTGTGAAAATGAGTTTGTGCCTTGGTTTTGAGTACCCATAAATTGATCATGCTAAATGATTAGATTGGATAACCCACTACTCCACTACTTTCCTTAAAACTTATTGTACCTTTTATTGTACCAGATTCAGTAATCCACTTAATTAAGGAAAATCTCTTTAACTTTTTTTTTCACATTGATACAATATACAGGTTTCATAATTAAAATTGTATCAATTGATTGGAGTGAGAGGGAAAGGAGGATACTCATTTATTACTATAGCATTTTAATTTGTAATTTTAGTGAGAGATTATTACGAGCCGTAGGATTTTCATCTCACAATCAAGAAATTGAGGGTTTGATTTTTGAATTCTTTAACCCTTATAGTTGGTGATAAACTTGAAATATTAAGAGTAGTTTTATGTTGGGTGAGTTGCCCTCTAAGGCACTTACCATGTGTCTTTTGAGGTCAAAAAAATTATGCAATTGCTAAAAAGTTCTTACTGTAATTAAAATGACTTTATCACCTATTTTGATGACGGATATTAATCAATGACTTTTTATGCAGATAAATTCAATCAAGTTTGGATATGGCTTTACCACCTATTTTGATGACGGACATTAATGCTTAATCATTCTTACGAGAAATATTAAGTCATAAACATCTACAATAATCAATATTATGAGAATTTTCAAAGACTTTAATGTAATGAAACTCAACCACGATTTTCAAGATATAAATGCTTAGGCCCTGTTCTCTTCACCTTAAAAAAATAATATTAAGTAAAAATAATTTCAATTTAGTAAAAATAAATTCAGTTCAGTAAAATTAATTTCAGTTCAGTAAAAATAATTTCAGTTAAGTAAAAATAAGTTCAGTTCAGTAAAATTCAGTTTTCTTAAAGAAGAATTATAATAGAAAATCAGTAAAAATAATTTCAGTTTAGTAAAAATAATTTAAGTTCAGTAAAAATAATTTCAGTTCAGTAAAATTAAGTTCAGTTCAGTAAAAATAATTTCAGTTCAGCAAAATTAAGGTGAATCAAACAGGGCCTTAATCATTTTAAGGCTCAGCTTATTGCCATTTGGGCATCTCCAACCCAAAAAAAAAATAAAAAATAAAAAAAAAAATACTGAAACATGTGATTGGATTTATCGGTGGTGCCAATAATAAGAAGTCGTCCTAACAAACAAGTGAACAGGAGTATGGAGAGAAGAAGAAAATAGTAGTAGTGTGTACAACTAGTACTATAAAGAGGTTAAACATCTTATTTGGTGTGATGTATAACTTACAAAGTCTCATTATTTTTGATGTAAAATGCAAAAATAAAAATGTGGTCCAATTCTCATAATGTAACTTTATGGTTTATGTGTGGCCTTTAGCCTTCCTTGAGAAAATGACTAATATAAGCCCATTACTTCATGTCTCCAAAGGATGCCTTATTTGGATGACACGTGTTCCATTTGTCTTCAATGGAGGACTTGTCACTACCTCTACAAATTATGTTTAGTGCCCCATGAGTTAATTCAATTGCCTTCTTTTTCTTCTTTTTATCATTCTTGTTTTAATTTCTACTTCCGGCTTTTTTTGGTGTATAGAGAGTCATAAGATAGTGACTTAGACGGGTTGCAAATTTACAAGTATAAGTGTTGGGTATAAAAGTGCTATGTCGTGAGAGTTTATGAATTTAACTACTAGGTTGGTTCCTTAGTGTTTTTTTACACTCAAATCGTAAGGGAGACCTTGTAAAGCCGTAATGGTAGTGTAACAAGTGAGGAAAGGAGTTGCTTTGAGTCACACAATGATGCAAGTGGATAACTTATGATGGGCCAAATAAAAATAAGTTAGTAAAGGTTCCTTGTCAAAATGGTATAAAGTAGGAATGTAAATAACATTATGAAACGGGCTAATAGAGAAAACGCAAATATGCCATTTGGAAGTGTAGCCATGAACTCGGCATGAAGGCACAATCACTCATCGTGTATAACTTGCACTTTTTTTAATCAATACTTGGTTTTTCAAAAAATGGTAGGGTAAGATCACTTTGTACTCCACTACTTCATATTTTTTTTAAATCGATTAGTAATAATATATTGACATTTCAAATCGACATATAATTTTGATCGTTTGTTAAATACTGGATAATGTTGAATGAGGAAAGAAGTTATGTGGTAAGACTATATCACTATACAGTACAAAGTAATAAACCAGCTTAGTAATATTTGAGGGAAATGAAAGTACTCCCTCGCTTTATACTTTGACGTATATTTTTATACGTAAGACTACCACTATCATGCACTTTGTGTTACTGTGTATGACATAACCCGGGTTGGTTGGACCTGTGAGAGGTCCCGGCCCGGTAGAGCCCTTCTCTTTACCGTAATAATAATAATAATAATAATAATAAATAAATAAAATTAAACAAAAAAAAACTATGAATGACATTAATTTTTTTTTGGAAATTCTCTTTGGTAAACTCCAACTTTTTAATTTTCTAAGTGGTAAACAAAGTTTTATAAAATTATCTTAGTACTCATAAACTTCTTATACTTATTACTTATGACATTAATTATTATATTTTATTAAAAATTTAACTATAATTAGGTTTTTTTTATTTTTTAACAATAAAAAGTTTAACTATAGTTAGGTTTTTAATTATTTTTAACAATTTAATAATAATACAAATTCTTAAATGGACCTAATTCACACTAATTTATTGTGGACCACCAACATTAGAGGCAATATGATTATTTTATTAATAAAAAAAAAGTCACTATATTAAAATAAAGGTTATTATGTTGAAATAAACGTAGTGTGATATTAAAAACTAGAAGAGGTTAATCTTTTTAATTAAATTTTAATATAATGGTCAATATGAATAATAAGAATCACTATGTTAAAATTAGGTCACTATTCAACATAACGTCGTACTTTAAGTTCACAATAACATTAAAGGTCACACAATTTTTTAAAAAAAGATTACTATGTTAAAAATAAAGTTCCTATATTAAAATTAAGGGACACTATGTTCTATATAATGTTAGTTACGTGTATATAAAACATAGGTCCACAATAATATTACCGTGGACCAGGTTCACACAAGATTTTCTATAATAATTATACTAAAATTAAAAAAAAATCAACCACCCCTTCCCCCACCCGCTGCCAAGCCTCCCTCCCCCTGCTGGCGGCCGGCGGCCCTACCCAACCCCCGACGTCGGCAACCTACCTTCCCCCCTCCCCATCCCGACATCTCCCAAACCACCACCTCTAATCTCCCACCAGTCAGCCACCTTAGCCCAGCAGCCTCCCCACAACCGCCACCAACGCCTGACCCTTCCTCACCACGCCGGCGCCGCTCCTCCTCTCAACCCTACGCCACTGGCCGCCCATTCCCTTGAGCCACCATACCCCCTCCCTCCTATTGAATCGTAAAAAACCTCTCTCCGCCCTTCCACCTTAGCTAAACATC